CATTGAATCTCTTGATTCTTCTTCATTACCTTCCATTTTTCTTCACAAATCATCTCCATAAACATTTCTGAGTGTGTTCATATTGATTTGCAACTCCATTGATGAAGATTTGAAGGCTTTCACATTGAATTTGCAAGGAAGCAAATTGCATTGGATCTTGAAGTACAAGTCCTCTACATCAAATCTTGTGCAAGCAGAAGAAAAATCACCATTCAAGGAGTGTTCTTGAGGAGCTACAAGGCTTGGATTGAAGACTTTCATCACCTACCATTTCAAGAAGCAAGGTATGCAAAACCACTTCTACACCCTATTCTAGGAATGGCTAGGGTTAATTATTAGTGTGAAACTATTAGAGACAATTAGGTGGTCCATTTTGGTGAGTTTGAGACCAATTGGAGAAGTTTCATTAATGGTGGTCAATTCTTGATGGAGCTAGAACATGCTACATAGTGAATGATAATGTTAGATTAATGGCTGGTTTTGATGAGTGTAACATAAGGATCATTTTTGTGTAAAGAATCATGAGTTTGGTTGAGGTTGAAAACTGATGAAATTTTAAGTTCATGAGGTTATACCGTTCGGTTTGGATGATAGAAGTTGTTTCAATGCAAACTAAGATCACAGTTGTATTCAACATGGAAATTAAATCAATTTTGGTTTTTGTATCGTGTTGGTTGGTGGAGAGACGAGGGAGAACGAATGAGTAGAAGATGAATGCATGAGAGTTGTTTTCATGGTGTTTTCAGAAACCCTAAATGCATGAGGTTGAAGATGAAATCATTGCCATTGATGCGCGCTGACTGGGTTGACTTGGAGAACGATCCAACGGGCGAGATTTAAACACGAAATGGAGGGAAGCCAGCAGCGTAAAACACTGCGTTTCATTAAACGCACCAGTCTGGGCTTTGAGTTCAATTTCTATTCCCACCCCCCATGAAGCCCAATTGAGTTTTATAACTGTTTTGGATTTCTATTCGCACCGTCGCCTTATTATTTTTATTTTGATTTTTTTTAGTGTTTTCTAATTAATTCATTGGGCCCAGCGTATTCCTATACGCACCCCTCATGTTGGGCCCAGATATGAAACTAACTGCATATTGTTTCTATTCATACCCCATGCATTAATTCTCATATTAAATTTTCTCCAAATTTTATTTTACTTTGAAAATCCATATTAAATTGAAAAATGAATATTTTTTAATGGGAATTTTTTCTATACTTTCCATTTTTTGTCAAGAAAAATATAAAATCATAAAATTGTCATTTTATTTCATTTTTATATTTTTTTTGCATATTTTCTCATTTAATTGCTTTTTTAATTCTTTTAGTTGATACCTTAATTTGTAGAATTTAGTTAGGGTAGTTCCCTTTAGATTTTTAGGTCAATCTTTTTAGGGTAGTTAGGTGTATGTTTTAGGTTCCCCCTGAATTAATTCCATATTTTTTTGATGATGTTTAGGATGGTTTTGATTAGATGCTATTAGGTAGTGTAGAATTAGGTTAAAACTTCAACATAGGTCCATAACAACTTTAGATTTTGGGTTTTTAGGGCAATTTAGACTATGGGGAATATATGGGTATTAAGGGTAGGTATGTAGGATCCCTTAGAAATTATATTAGGATTTAATAGAATAGTATGCTATTTTTAGTTGATTTTTGTATTGGTTGATTGGTTGTGTTGCCTTTAGGGCATGTTTGTTTAGTTTGCTTTGCTTTGGAGTTTTCCTTTGGCTTGAGGAGCTTGGTATCTCATTATGGAGCATTGTGGAGCATTGTAGAAGACTTGAAGATGCATTGAGGAGCTTGAGAGCTTGATTTCTTTTCTTTTGTGTTGTTTTAGGGTTAGGAACTAGGAAGAGCTTAGATGTAGATAACTTCTTTCTCAAACATGGATGGTATCATTCACCTCCATTCCTCCCTATGATTCAAAGTCCTTATATGGTATACACCTCTCTCCTTTGGAGGGATAAGTGCTATACCTAGGAGGTAGAACTTTTGAGGGAACCATCCCCTTGATGTTGAACCCTTATAGGTCACCTTTGGTGATCAAATAAGCAGTTCAATATCCCCTAGCTTATCCAGTAAGTGATTTTCTCTGGTTTGATTGTCTTGAGAGATGCAGAGCCTGAGCTTGAAGATGAAGACTTTATTGAAGAGCATGAAGATCAAGTTGATACTTGAAGATCCCTGAAGATGGTGAAGCCTGAAGGTGGAGCTGATCAAGAAGCTGAAGCTTAAGGGAGAAGATGAGTTGAAACTCATGTTGTAGGGTTGAAACCTGGAAAGCAAACTGATGTTTGTCAAGTGATTGAAGTCTGAAGACTGAGTCGCTGCTGGAGGAGCTGAGGCTTTCTTCTATTTTTCTTTTTCTGTATTGTGTGTTTTGCTTTATTTGTCTGTTGCATTAGAATAAGTTCATCTAGAATAAGTAGAATCCAGGAGCATGATTGCATTAGAGGTTGAGTTGCTCCCTCTGCTTGTATTGTTATTGCGTGGCTTTGCTTGCGGGTATTCGGTAGAGCCCAACTCCCTTGCCCATGTGGTTGGTTTGCCTGATGGCATTTCATTTCATTTTATCTGTATGATTGCAGTTTACTGTTTATTGCTTGATAGCATGTTGTTTATATTTCAGTATGATTACTGTTATTTCATTCTGGCTTGAGGTTGAGATGAGCTTGTGGAGGCTAAAGCCCCACACACATTTCCTCCCTCACTTGCATTGCATGCATTTTACTGTTAAGCCGATGCTTTGTCTGTTTTGGTGTATCATTGACATGATTCCTTAGGACTCTCATTTCCTTGGATAAGGATTTGATGATAGACTTTTAGGTTGAAATCTATGTATGACAACTTCTAGGAGTTCCCTGTTCAAACCTCAACCATAGGATGAATCCATGGCATGATAACCGTAGGACTTGATAGTCTCCCTCCTAGTTGGGCCTATTCTCTTCTCATCTCAAAACAGTTTAAGATACAGTAATCATGAATGATTTCTTTCGTACGTTACGAGCCTTAAGCTATCTGAGAGAGGATTGTGGGAGAGTTTCTTTGCCACAGTCTGGATGTTTAGTATGGTACCCTTTGGGTGACATGCGACGCATTCACTCTCAGGTCATAGTCTCTAGTGCGGTTGAAATCGCGAGCACAATAAAAAACACTTCTTTCGTAAAGACAGGAAATACACCGTAGTTTCCCGAACTACGTATGCTCTGATCTCTCATACCTGTTGAGAGTACGTAGGCACAAGATGGCGATGTCTTGGCGAGCAACCTTCCCCCATAATCCTTCGTAGGCCGAACTACATTGACTCTGATTTCTCATTCTCTGATGAGAATACATAGGCATAAAGTGCGACGCTTTGCCGAGTCATTTTTCTTTTCTTTTTCAGCCAGCCTTGATAGGTAGATAGAATAAAACCAACTCGTCCAAGTAAACACAACTAGCGAGGATCCCGTCGAGTACGACGAACGTGAGGGGTGCTAATACCTTCCTCTTGTGTAACCGACTCCCGAATCCAGACAATGGTTGCGATGACCTTGTCTTACCCTTTTTCGTCAGGTTTTTCCGATCATTTCCTTTCCTGCTCTGAGGGATAAATAACGAAAGGTGGCGACTCTTCTGTCATGCCGACACCTTATTTTCGCGCAAGCGACAATGAGGAACACTGGTTTAAATGAAATGGATAGCATTGGGGATCATTTCACTTGGTCCAATAAACAAACAGCTGGTCCCATTTACTTAAGAATTGATAGAGTGCTAGGCAATACTGATTGGTTCCTCACCAATATGGAGACTACTCTTAAGATCCTCCCTCCTAATATCTCTGACCATGCCATGCTCTATTTGGTTCATAACCAAGATCATTGGAAACCCTCCAGACAATTTAAATTCAGCAACTGCATTGTTGATTTGCCTGGCTATGACACTATGGTAAAGAAGAATTGGAAGGACCACATTAGGGGAAGTCCAATGTTTGTTCTTTGGCACAAACTCAAGAGATTGAAGCAGGAATTAAAGCAATTCAGCAAACCTCTATCTGTTGTAACAACCAATTTGATATCTGCTAGGAAGACCCTAAAGGAAACTCAAGAAAAGCTGAGAAATGACAGAATGAACAACAAATTGATTGGGAAAGCAAAAGAGTTGACAGAAGAAGTGATAACCCTGAATGAAATGGAGTGGCAGATTCTGCATCAAAGAGCAAAGATTGACTGGATTAGGAAGGGAGATGGCAACAATCAATATTTCTATGCTGCTATCAAAGCCAGACATCACTCCAACTGTCTTAACAACCTAAAGAAGATTGATGGAAGACTGATAACATCCAAAGCTGACATTAAAGATGAAGTGATTAATTTCTACAGCAACCTAATGGGTAAAAATGTTGAGAACATAAACCACATTGATATAGAGGCCATAAGGATGGGAAAACAACTTGACATGGACCAAAGAGAATACCTTATCAGACCCATATCAGAAAATGACATTGCCATAGCCCTAAAGGGAATTGGAGACCTCAAAGCACCAGGGATGGATGGGTTTGGAGCCAAGTTCTTTAAAACCAGCTGGACAACTATAAAAGATGATGTGATAGCAGCTGTTAAGGAATTTTTTGAAGCAGGCAAAATTTACAAAGCTTTCAATAATGCTATAGTATCCTTGATTCCTGAAGGCCATAATGCTTGTGGATTCCAAGACTACAGACCTATAGCTATATGCACCACTTTCTATAAGATTATTTCCAAAATTCTGACTAACAGATTAGGAGCTGTCATTCCTAGTGTGGTAAACCAAAATCAAGCAGCTTTCGTGCCAGGCTAGAATATCCATAACCACATCATGCTTGCTACTGAATTGCTTAAGGGCTACAACAAGAAAGGAGGCACACCTAAGATCATGATGCAATTAGATCTTCAAAAAACATATGATATGGTTAATTGGAAGGCTTTAGAGTGCATCATGAAGGAGATAGGTTCCCTACCAAATTCATCCAGTGGATTATGCTAGGCATCACCACTGTTTCATATAGATTTAACATTATGGGTGAATACACAGATATCCTTCAGGCCAAAAGGGGATTACGTCAGGGTGATCCTTTATCACCTATGCTCTTTGTTCTCATTATGGAATATATGAACAGATTGTTGGAAAAGATGCAAAGAGACCCTAATTTCAACTACCATGCCAAGTGTGAAAAATTCAAAATCACCAACCTTACTTTTGCAGATGATGTGATGTTATTCTGCCGAGGCGACGATATATCATTGCAAATGATTATTCGAACTTTCATGGATTTCTCCAATTCCACGGGGTTAATAATGAACCCTAACAAATGCAGGATTTACTTTGGAGGTCTGGACACTGTGAAGAGAAGGAGTTTGACAGAGCTGTCGGGTTTTCAAGAAGGATCGCTTCCTTTCCGTTACCTAGGAATACCTCTATCTGGAAGGAAATTAAACATTAACCATTTTATGCCCTTGGTGGACAGAATAGTGGCAAGAATCCATCATTGGTCTTCTAAACTGTTAAGCTATGCCGGTAGAGTTCAATTTGTGAAAAGTATAGCCTCTGCAATGGTTCAATACTGGCTGCAATGTCTTCCCATGCCAAAAACTGTGATCAAGAAAATTGACTCCATCTGTCGCAGTTTCATCTGGACCGGTAAGGATACGGTGAGCAGAAAATGCCCTGTGGCTTGGAAGCACACTTGCTGTCCTGTTGCTCAGGGTGGTTTGAACCTGTTAAATCTGCAGGTTTGGAATAATGTTCTCCTCTTGAAATGTTTATGGAACCTGTGCAACAAAACTGATTCTCTTTGGGTGAAATGGGTCCATATTCATTACCTAAAAGCAAAACAGATCATGAATTATGAAACCAAAACTCACAACTCTTGGATCATATGCAGTATTTTGAAACAAAGAGATACCATGGATTTAATCCGGAACGAATGGGAGCAGCTTCTGAACTCCCAAAAGTTTAAGGCGTCGGTTTTTTACAAGGTGCTGATTAATGACGGAACAAGGGTACCTTGAAGAAACTTGATTAGAACCAATAAGAGCCGGCCGCGAGCAGTGTTTTGTTTATGGCAAGCTTGTCAAGTGAAACTTGCAACCAAGGATAGATTAAAGCGATTTGGCATGATCCAGGACAACCAGTGCAGTTTATGTCAAATTGAGGAAGAGACTGATAACGCGAAATCGTATATATATAATGACATACATTTTTACTAATCAATGACTGGTTTCACTCCGATTTCGGGTTTTTCCACGTTATTTTCCAGTATTTTGCAGGTATTCAAAGTTCATGTTCAAATGGAGCAAGATGAAGAAAACAAGCAATTACAGATGAAAACCAGATGAAAAACAGACCAAAAATAGCAAATACTAATTTTGCTGATGTGACGGTCGTCACATGCCCATTACGACCGTCATACGTGTTACGACCGTCACAACCCATCACGACCGTCATGCAGACAAAAAGTGCAGAAATCCTGCACGTGCTGTAAGTGCTTTCAAAGACCAAAAGGAGTGGACCACTAGCTCCTACTTTTTCTGAGATCAATCCCACTTCCTGAAGCAACTAACCGTTGGAAATTCCATCTATAAAAGGAGGGAGTTGGTACCAGAAAAGGGGAGCTGCATTGAAGATACAAAGTGCTGCCAATTTATTTTCAGAGCAAATTTGAGTTTCAGAATTTCTTATTGTTTCCTTTTTCTTTCCTTTCCTTGCAATTGTGTTTTACTTTTCAATTCTATTCTGTACGAGTGATTGGTACCAAGACTAAATCCTGCCGACATTTTGGAGGATTTCCCAAAGGCCAATTGAATTATTTACAGGTTTTTATTATAATCGTTAATTGAATTTTACTTTCCATTATGATGCATGTTTATATATTCTACCATTGTTTACGTGTTCTTAGTTTATATTCCATGTCTGGCTAAATTAAAGTAATCGGTATGTAATAGGTAGTCAGATGGGATTCGATAATAACCGGTGTATACTTTCCTTTTCAAAACACCAGTGACCTTCGAATCCTGGAAGAAACAACATATTGCATACCGATTCACGCATTTATACCTTAAGTAATGTTTTTAGTTCCCCTACAGTTTACACACTTATTTTGCTTTTATTTCCCTAAAACCATACCAACCTAGCTAAACACAGTAACACCCGAAAATACTAGCTTGATTATGAGTCCCTGTGGGATCGATATCTTATATTACTACGCGATAGACTGTGCACTTGCAGTTAGTTCAGTTAGACATAGAAAGTCGCGATCAAGTTTTTGGCGTCGTTGTCGGGGACCCGTTTAGTCAATAGTGTAATCCTTTGTTACACAATATAGACTAGGTTAACTATTCTCTCTCCCTCTACTCGTTCTTCGGTTGTATGCCAAGTACTCACTCACAAGGAGACATCTTACAACCTACAATTGCCGAACTAGAGTGCTTCTTACACTTAAGAAGGCGCATCCTCGAATATCAACGAAAACATAATATTCCTGATCTTCTAGCTCATCCTCCTGTTGAAGAATCAAAGATGGCTGAAGGACCTCAGAACAAACCGCTGAAGGACTACGCTACCCCATCTCAGCTGGAGCCTCGAAGTAGCATTGTTGCTCCCGCTATCAATCGGAACAATTTCGAGCTGAAACCGTCATTGCTGTCAGCTGTACAACAACATCAATTCTCAGGAAATGCAACTGAGGATCCGAATGAACACTTAACGAAGTTTGTGCAATGCGCAGACACAGTGAAGGCAAATGGAGTAACTCCAGATGCAATAAGACTTTGTCTCTTTCCTTTCTCTCTTAGAGATAGAGCTTAGACTTGGTTACAATCCTTACCATCCAACTCCGTTACGACGTGGGAACCGTTGAAGACGTTTTCTTAGCAAGATACTTTCTGCCAAGCAAAACTGCTATGCTTAGAGCTCAAATCAACGGATTTCGACAAAAAGATACTGAATCTCTCTATGAAGCGTGAGAAAGGTTTAAGGATATGATGAGAGCATGTCCTCACCAAAGTTTGGAAGACTGGGTGGCGATCCATACTTTCTACAATGGGCTTCTATATAACACCAGATTAACGGTAGACGCCGCCGCAGGCGGTGCACTTATGGATAAGCCATACGACGAAGCCTATCAACTTATCGAAAACATGTCTCAGAACCACTGCCAATGGGGAGGTGAAAGAACTCCATTAGAGAAACCCGCAGCGAAAGGTGGGATGTACGAGATCAACAGTCTTGAAAAGTTGAACGCTAAGGTGGATGCTCTAGCGCAGAAAATCGACAGTCTAACCGTAACCCCACCTGCAACCGTAGCTGCTGTAACTCCAAATTGCGAGTTATGTGGAATCGCCACTCATAATGCCCCCGAGTGCCCATTATTGGCAAGAATTCCACCAGCCCAAGTAAACTACGCTCAAGGTAATCCTTAGCAAATACTTACAACCCAGGATGGAGGAACCACCAAAACGTTTCCTACAAGAGCGATAATGCCCTGCAAGCACCAGCTGCTCCGCCAGGTTATCAGAAACCAGCCGCTGCTGCCCAGACCGCCCCTTGGAAATCAAATCTCGAAGTGATGATGGAAAAATTCATAGCTACTAAAGTTCAAACAAACAAAGAATTCCTGAATCAAAACATACACACTAGCGAGCAAATTAAACAGCTGACCGGAAAAGTAGACGCTTTAGCCACCCATCATAAAATGCTTGAAACGCAGATATCACAAGTGGCTCAACAACAAGCCTCTGCAGCCGCACCAGCTGGGACATTTCCAGGTCAGCCAGAACCTAATCCAAAAGGTCATGCAAACGCTGTCATATTGAGAAGTGGAAAAGAATTGGAAGGCCCAACAGATCCTAGGAATGAAGATTCAGCCATGCATCAGAAATCTGATAAACCAACAGAAAAGGAGTCTGAAACAGAAAAGAAGGAATGTGACGAGCAAAAGGCCACCAAAGATGAAAACACATATGTGCCTCCAGCGCCATATAAACCACCGATTCCTTATCCTCAAAGATTCATAAATTCCAAGACTTCAGGACAATTTTAGAAATTCGTTGAACTTCTGAAACAACTAAATATCACTATTCCTTTCACATAAGCGATAACCCAAATGCCGCCATACGCTAAGTTTCTTAAAGAAATCTTGTCTAACAAAAGGAAAATCGAGGATAACGAAATAGTTACACTTACTGCCGAATGTAGCACAATCATTCAAAACAACATGCCTCCTAAACTAAAAGACCCAGGTAGTTTCTTCATACCTTGCGTCATAGGAAAGTTCGTCATAGACAAAGCTTTATGCGATCTAGGAGCCAATATAAGTGTTATGCCCTTATCTATATGCAAAAAGCTGAATATGGGAGAACTAAGACCAACTAAAATGTCCGTGCAATTGGCTGACTGATTAGTCAAATATCCCGTCGGTGTGCTGGAAAACGTTCCAGTACGCATAGGCTAATTCTATATTCCAACCGACTTCATAATCATGGACATCAAATAGGACTCTGTCACCCTAATTATCCTAGGAAGACCGTTCCTAGCGACAGCCGGAGCTATCATAGACGTAAAGAAAGGAAGGCTAACATTCGAAGTAGGAGAAGAAAAGATAGAGTTCATCCTTACTAAGTTCTTGAAGGTACCAGCCATAGATGACACATGCTATATAGTAGATGTCATTGACGAATGCATACGAGAACTAGAGAAGGAAGAAACTACATATTCTGAAATCATGAAGATCCAAATCCCTGCTATTCATGAAGACGACAATTGGTGTTCACCATACAAAGATGATAGTTTGAGCGAGATCTTAACACTAACTCCAAATCACATGCCAGGTCCGAAAAACCCAGTTTCAGAACTTAAAGAACTACCTAAAACCCTCAGGTATGAATTCTTAGACACGGAATTCAAAAGACCAGTAATAGTCAATGCAAATTTAGGACAGTCAGAAACTGAGCAGTTACTAGAAGTCCTAAGGAAATACCCAACTGCGTTAGGCTATAATATAAGCGATCTTAAAGGCATAAGTCCTTCCATCTGTATGCATCGTATCATGCTAGAGGAAGACTGCAAAACTTCAAGAGAACATCAGAGAAGGATAAATCCGATCTTAAGCACTGTAGTCAAAGACGAGGTGAAAAAGTTACTAGACGCAGGAATCATATACCCGATCTCCGACAGCCAATGGGTCAGCCCAGTGCACGTAGTGCCGAAGAAAGGAGGCGTTACTGTAGTGAAGAACGCGAAAGGTGAATCGATAACCCAAAGAGTTGTGACCGGAAGCAGGATGTGTATCGATTATAGAAAACTGAATAAGGCGACTCGGAAAGATCACTTCCCTTTACCTTTCATAGACCAGATGTTGGAAAGACTAGCGAAACATTCATACTTCTTCTATCTAGATGGTTATTCGGGATTCTTTCAAATTCCTATTCACCCCGATGACCAGGAAAAGGCAACATTCATCTGTCCTTATGGCACTTTTGCTTATCGCCGAATGCCGTTCGGACTATGTAATGCTCCAGCAACCTTCCAAAGATGCATGATGGCAATCTTTGCAGATTTCATAGACAACATCATGGAAGTGTTCATGGATAACTTCTCTGTATGTGGACAAAGCTTTGAAAGCTGCCTGTCAAATTTAGAAATGGTACTCAAAAGATGCGCTAAAGTGAACCTTGTCCTTAATTGGGAGAAATGCCATTTCATGGTCCGACAAGGCATCGTTTTAGGACACGTCATATCTGAAAAAGGGATTGAGGTTGACAAAGCTAAAATAGAGATCATAAAGGATCTTCAACCTCCGAAAACCGTACGAGAAATACGAAGCTTTTTAGGACATGCTGGATTCTACCGAAGATTCATAAAGGATTTCTCGAAAATCACAAAACCTCTGACAGGTTTATTGATGAAAGATTTCGAGTTCGTTTTCGACAAAGAATGCTTAGAAGAATTCGAAACTCTAAAGATAACACTCATTACCGCACCAATCATGCAACCCCCAGATTGGCGGCTACCA